AATTATTTAGTCTTTTTCATAATTAGCCAAATTCAAGATTTGTTAGCCTCTCTGTTGAACTGCCCATAATATTATATCATTTCAATGAAATGTGTAATTATGCGTATAAAATATTTGTTTTTTACTCAAGAGTACACAATTAGCTTTTATACGTCTGAGAACCACTCATTTCATTTTAATGAATCTCGATACATTTTAGTTATTATCTGTGCTTATTAATTACCAAATTTGTTTAATGGTTAGCAATTTTTCAACAGTTATACTGATATCTCAAACAACACACAAAGCGGTACCTATATTTTCGGTCATGCGAACCTAGTATTTTTGCCAATCGTCGACCACATACCAGGTCACATGTCAATATTTTTAGCATCCAAAATGGCTGTGCCCTGTACCTTAAACAGTATCCTTTAAAATTAAGGAAGGACTACAAGCTCTCCTGCTGTGATGACAAGACTAAAGTTTGCATGGGTGATCCTGAGTTCAAAACGCAACAGGTTTCCAAGGTAGAAAACGTCTGGCACCTTCAACAAGTAACTGATCCTGATCTGCACCACAGTGGGCTCTATCTGTCTACCGTATCCCAGATAATATTTAAAAATCCTTCTACCGGGACTGTCACTGTAATACTGAATGTGTTTCAGTCCTCCGACCCATTCAACACTCTATCTTCTTGTTGAAACAAATCAAGTAATCAGAGGTCCAGCCAAAGATTGTCGTAAATTTGACAGATGAAATAAACCATCGAAACAACTTTTGAAGCTTTAGTATCCATGTGTATATGCAAATAGCTTTTGCAGGTTCGCATCAGATCATAGCTTCAGAGAGGGTGATGTCAATTGCCAAAATGCCCCCGCAAAACTGTGCTATTGAATGCTTATGCAGAAGACCTTGCTAAAATGTAGCTGATTCATGACATCGGAAAGCTTGCAAATCCAGACAATTTGCATGGATAAAAAGTATTAAGCAGCAGAAAGGTGTCATGGATCCGATGCTGCGTAAGGCGATTGTCTCCTTACAACATCTCTTGAACTTGCTTCTTCAAGATCTGGATGTTAGTAGACAACAACAACTCCATGATGTCAGTAATATGCTAATGCCGGTGAATATCTTACGTTAGTTCTGATCAATAGGATTTAGTGAATGTAGACTTATTTTAACTTATTTTATTATTTTCATTAATCAAAATTATAATTCAACTCGTCAATTTACTTTGTCAGAAAAAGAAATACATAACAAAACAATCTGATCATATGTGTTTCTGTCATGTAACCTGGAACACACCCTTTTTAGGCCCAATTGATTTGAAGTTTGAAAAATAGTTTCAATATAGCAATAAAATAGTGGTACTCTTTGATATATCTGATATGTGATTATAAGTCATAAATCAATTATAATAAATTTTGAAATTGCTCATTTTAGCATTAGTGATCATGATCACACTCGATAAGTCACTTAATAAATATATATATTGCGTATACATTAATGGTACGAATTTGATTAAATTCTTATTCATGTAGTATAAATCTACAATCTTAAAATTCAAAGACAGATTTGATTGGTGTGAACCCGGGATAATGTTTGGTTTTCACACTGTTTTTATAAATATAACAAATTTGGATATATTTGACCGATTTCAGAAACTTTCTGGCTAATTTTTGGCTTGCAAAAGGTCGTTATAAAAGTGACATCACATCTACCTTGAATCAAATAAAAATATATTTGGAGCTATTTTTATCTAGTAACAAATGTGCTGAATTTTTATCAATTTCGTAATTTTTACACCAATTTTTTAGGCTTACCATGCAAAATCAAAGAAGGCATCAACCCCTAGCCCTAAATAACTTCTTACTGCGATATGATTCCGTCATACACAATATATTGAATTATCTATTTATTTATTATAATAAATCACATGTTGTTCACAAGGGATGAAATTATGTATTTAATGAATATCAGAGTATGATTTATAGCCCTGATTTGGGTGAAATTGACACTAAACGAACAAATATCTGACAGTGGTTCGTGATACGTGCCCCAGATGTCACTCCTGGACTTCGCCGGTTGATTATCCAGCTAATGAATGAACAGGCATTGTGGGCCAGTTAATGATTGACACAAAAAACTGCGTGACATCGAGGTATTTAGAACAATTAAAGGCAGTGTGGTTCTAGGGGTTGCTGCTGCTCGGGATTTTATCAACAAACGTGTCTACCACATTTGTGGTGACTCGAGCAGATCCAAATACTACCATGTCAAACTAGGAAGGAAGCCTGGTTCTACGGTTGTGAAAGTAGAGTTTGATGCTTCAATTCGTGAACTTCAGACGCTGACTACGTAACATACATTGGGAAAGACCAAGACTGCTTCGATTTGGCGCACATCTGGAAGGCGTGCGAAAGCTATGCTTAGCACTAAGCCGTTACAGGGGCGAGTGATACTGCCGGAGACGGGAACCATACCAACTATAAATCTTGTTGTACCTAATAAACTATGGCTGCATTTAATTCATATGTGGCCTCGTATGTGTAAGATTCACCAATGTACATTCTTGTTTCTAATTATATATGCATGGAATGGTATTGCACTATACTGAGGACCATTGGTCTAAATTATCTCTGTGTTACACGAATTGTGTAACTTTAAATCGGTTAAACTCACACATGTGCTGCTAAAATATTTAATATTATTGGGTATTCGAGGTTAATGTTTTACCTGACCCTGTGCTCGATTCGTCCAGATCGGTATACATTACCAGTTACAATTTATACTCGGGTTCTGTCGTGGATACTGGCACGATAGGTAATTATATGTGATACTATTTTGAGCAATCTACTATGCTAATAAAATAACTAACTTGAATTTAAATGTGATCGTCAATTTGTTGGCGAATAGAAAGAGGTCATTCATTATTTGTTTAAAATATGCCCTTTAAATGCACTGATAATACAATCCGACACTTGAATGCTAAAAATAGAATAATCTCGTCATGCTTGGAGCTACATATATATATCTATGCAACTGATATCTCGTCTGAATTGGCCAGCACTCGGTCGTTACACTACCATATATAAGTATTCACGACTGGGTTGCTCGTACAGATTTATGTGTGTTCGGCACAATTAATTGTGTGTGAAAACAACCGATTTAGATAGGACTCACAAACAACGACTCTGATTGGATAATATATTCAATACGTCATACTTTGACGTACCAAAACTGTGATCTCAGTAGTGTTGCCTGTCGTCACGGGTATGGGGAAATGTTTGTGATTGACGGACTCAGGCTATTTTTTTTGTCAGGAATCACAGGAATGGTGTGTTGTTAGATTCACGTGTTCTATTTATCAGAGTCCCGGGAAATTCAAGAAAATTTCCATATTGAATAGCACATGTAAGTAGCTATATATCATGAATTCAAATAGATTGTAGGTGTTGTACATTTAGTTCAGTTAATCATTTAAGTCTATAATGGAACGATGGCATTTTAATTGTACATTCGATAAAATTAATTCTGAGTTGTTTTCAGTTAGATAATGGGATGCCAACATTTCAACATGTCTTGATGTATCACTAGTGCATCTGAATAGAAGTATACGTATTTTTACAGCTCTCTTAGATAGCAATTTCTGTGTATAATTTAGTCCATATGGATGTTATTTTATGGCGTATTTTATGCGGTTCCCAGAGATACGGGGGCGAAATATAGAGGGATTATGGTAATCCCCCTTTCGTACGTCCATTTATTGTGAAACGCAATACCTTGCTATTTTGAGAGAAGTCACCACTCGCCACTCGCCACTCTCACTATGTTTTGGTAGAAGGGTGTTACTTATAAATGCGTGTGTGGACAAATTTATTCTAACTATTTGATAGAATATTGAACGTTCACTAATGTTATACGTATTTATAACGTGACCTCGTCAAGGTATTTTTGCAGTGACCCGTAGCATCCCAATCCGACCATAAGCCGAAAAATACATATTTCCTTTCTCTCAAAACAAGGCGTTGTGCGCATGCTCTATCTCTGGGGAATTGAATATATAATTCGACTCACCGTTCAGGTAAATCTGAGAAGAATGCATGTGTCTGCTCGTGCGATGCGAACCGATTGTATATACCACCTAATGTTGTCACAATGCTCGTATTGTAAATCAGTTATTTCAGTTTAGAGGTTGAACCAATTGATAACTTGGAGCGTGATAAATGATTCTGAAAGGGATATGTTTTGGTTGATGTTGTGGCTGATAGAGATAGGTAATCCTCTCAAATGTCGAAATACCGATTTTTTACAGGGAAACATATTACAGTTATCGTCGAATGTGTTTAGCACATTCTTAAACGAAAAAATACTCAAAAAAATACATTCGTGTTTGTCGAATTCCATGCCATGTTTTGACGTCACTATCATGCTATGTTTTTTGTAGTTCTGTTTCTACGTTTGATTTCACGCATAAAACAGGATCTCATGAATTGATATTGGCAGACACGAAATTACCGATGGGTCAATCAAATCTGTTTTAAATAGAACGTTGGACATGTATGTGATGGAAAACGTACTGCGCTAAAGAGCGTGTTTTATTGATGTTTACGCTAAAATTGAATATAGAAGAATGGCATAATAAAACGTGGAATATTGTTATGGAATCGAGGGAGGAACAGAATTAAGTTTAGCAAGGTTGTGGTCAAGGCATTTCAAAAAACAGAATTGTTTATTCCATACTATAAGCCACTGGACCAAACGTACAATAGTAGTATCATTGATTATACAATAGTTGAGGGGGCACACTATATACAGGATAAAATAATTAATATACCCTAGGAATCGTGTCTCGTTTCTTAGACGCGAGATAAACACATTCAGCTGTATTCCGTACAATGGTAACTTTGATACAACCAATGAGCTCGATAAATTCACCGCAAATACAGCCTAGTATATACTGGACATGTAATTCATGGATAGTGAGGCCAATGTTTTCGTCCTCCATGGTTTTATCTGCACAAAATGGTCTACTTCGAGTTGAGACTGTATTTTCTGTTTCATTTTTTAAATCATGAGACGGTAATGGACGTCTGGTCGGGACTGGTCAATTCCATGTAAAAATTATCTTTACGTCTCAAATAATTCTCTCGCTAACAATTAGTTTAACTCTTTTATATTGGTCAAGTTTCGGATACATGTTAATTTATCCATGCCAACATTGGAATTCCATGTAACACGATCTTTGAATGTCGATTCGCAACCAATCTATCCACATCAAAAGAAAAGAAAATAATATTAATTTTAAATTACGTGCCCATCATGGTCTATTATTGTTTGCTTCGCGAGGTTGAAATTTGTAGCACTCAAAAACGTAGAGATTCCTAAATAATATTTGGTAATTTCTCAAAGCTATGTGACTTTAAACTCGGCTGACCTTCTCTTTAACAACAAGGTGTATAACGTTTCATCTTTGTTACATTATTACATTAGCTTTCTATAGTTGGAATATCAAAATCATTTAAGAGAAACAGACCGACCAGCACCCGGGACCAGCACGACTCATGGATGACTCAACTATATGCATAGCGGTCATCTTGGATACGTGTGCTAATCCGGATACGCATCTGATCGTTATTTCTGCCATGTTTACTCACATGACGCAATTTTAGCGGATGGTTTACGAAACTTTGTTCCACTTACCTCAAAATACCCGTCAAGATATGATTATTTTCGTCGACCAGATTGTTAAAGATACGAAACTTTATTCAGATTTATTTATTTTGTGAAATTAGTATCAATCTGACCTCAGTACTGTGGTATACATCGCTTTCAGACAACACATTACAGACAACTTATTATTTATTTATTTATTTATTTATTTATTTATTTATTTATTTATTTATTTATTTATTTATTTATTTATTTATTTATTTATTTATAGACGTTGTGTACTTTATCTAAGCTAGGGAAAAGCATACTTCATTCATCATGACAATCATATCAGATTTCTTCAGTAAATTAAATCGTGTCAAGCAGTTCGATCCAGATACGTATCAGTCGAAGATGAAGAAATGTCTGTCTACGTTAGATCTTACACTGCTTGGTGTAGGAGCGATGGTTGGGGCGGGGCTGTATATTCTTACTGGAATAGTGGCGAAGGATATGGCGGGTCCGTCAGTCCTCATCTCTTTCGTGATTGCCGGCCTCATTTCGTTCATCACGGCACTTTGCTATGCTGAGTTCGGCGCCAGGGTGCACAGGACAGGTTCAGCATATGTCTACACTTACGTCACTATGGGAGAATTCTGGGCTTTCCTGGTTGGCTGGAGTATAATTTTATCATTTGTTGTGGTTGGTGCAACGGCTGCGCGCGCGTGGAGCGGCTACTTTGATGAACTGATTGGATTTAAGATTCGTAACTACACACTGGAACACATCACCCATGGACCCTGGGAAAACCCACCGCTAGCCCAATACCCGGACTTCTTCTCTTTGGTAATCATTTTCATACTGGCTATATTCGTCACTCTGGGAGCAAGCGTTTCATCTAAACTCAATGCTGTTTTAGCTGTACTAAACATAATCATAGTATTTTTCTTTATATGCGTGGGCCTCAACTATGCAGACATCGACAACTGGCAGGGTGATGGCGGATTTGCTCCGTACGGGTTTTCGGGAGTACTGACTGGGGCCGCTGCAAGTTTTATGGCGTTTACAGGGTTTGATATCATTGCAACATCATCAGAAGAAGCCAAGACTCCCGCTATAAGTATCCCAATTGCAATAAGTGTTTCTATACTCGTGGCTTTTGTGGAATACTTTGCCGTGTCTGTAACACTAACTCTAATGATCCCACACGAGCTCATCGAAACTGAGGCGCCGCTAACCGACGCGTTGTCGCACAACGGAGTCAAATGGGCACAACTAGTTGTTGGTATTGGCGCTCTCTTCGGTGTTACAACGCCGCTATTGGCTCAACTCGTCGCACTTCCACGTGTCATCTACGCAATGGCAGACGACGGTCTTCTCTTTTCGCCGTTGGCGAAAATCCACCCCCGCACACAAGTACCAGTAATGGCAACTGGGGTGTTTGTAGTCCTGGTCTCGCTGCTGGCCGTTTTCTTCGACTTAGAGGACCTAATCGAGTTCTTAGTCATCAGTGCTTTAGCTGCCTACATCATAGTCGCTGGCAGCGTGTTGGTTTTACGCTATCGACCATGCCACCATACAAACCCCGACGAGATTCCGAGAGATCATGACAGAGAAGGGTCGATTTCCGGTCATGGAGATAAAATGGTCAGAGAGATGAACAGGCAGAAACTCGATGAACTCAAATCCAAGAAAGCTCCCTTGGAAGATGTTGGCAAATTGAAAAAAGGATTTAAGATGTTCTCATTTCTGTCAAATTATCCTCCTGGTGTTGTTCCTGAGTACACAATTTTGGCAATGGTTATCTTCATGATGATGCTATCTGCATTCATCTGTTACGGCTCAGATGCCCTGAGTAAAGGTATGCCGTGGGTCGTTTTCAGTATCATCATCACTGGTGTTGCAGTTATTGTGCTGTTCTTCATATTGTGCATACACGAGCAAAACGAATATATTCACACATTTACGGTAAGTAGAAACTGTCCTCGATTGGAGTTTTTTTTTCATAGTTGTGCCGCCAAATTGGATGACCCTTTATTGGTCAGAATGTATGTGAATGAGGCTAATATTTCAGTTGCTGGAAGACTGTGAAGAAAATTATTAATTTAGGTTTAGTATAGAATGGGGTCAACATTTGAAAATAACCATTTGAATTCAGCAATAGCGTCAAGCACCAACAATCACTATTTCAGATGAGAAAATGTGCCATGCCATTCAAAATCATATGACAAAATAGAAAGGAGGAATAGGACTCGAGTTTATTGCGTTGTATCACTTTAAAGCTAATTCATTGTATGGCTTATATAAACCTAACCAATATGCACTGGATGTTTCCAGGTTCCATTTGTTCCGTTCTTGCCGAGTTTTAGTATATTCTGCAATGCTTTCCTTATGATGAAACTGTCCCCGATTACGTGGATACAGTTCGCTGTCTGGTTGATCCTGGGTATGTACAACACGCCTGTTTATATTCAATCTGCGGTAAAATCTGTTCTTTTGTCATGTATAATATTCTATTTCAATATAATTTCGCCTAATATCAAATCAAAAGACTGCGTTTCAATTAGACAAGCTAGGCTGTTCTAATAATTGTATACATCAGACATACGCAATACCATACACCATTACTGTAAATCACGCCCCCTAGTGGTGAAACGCTTCTGTGGCGTCATAATGACGTATGTGGGTGTATGCAATGTCGTTCAAATCAACCACTCTGTTTGGTTGGGTAGTCGTTCGTCAATTAGTAAGAAGCAAAATTTCTCCAAAACATCATCTTCACTGATGGACGACTGCAGATGAAAACAATATCAACGATTTGAACGTCATTCCTGTCACCTATTTACGTCATAGAAGTATTTCGTCGCCAGGGGGCGCGATTTATAGGCAAGGTATATTGTTGATTTTATAATTAAACTTATTTTCCATATCAGGCATGATAGTATACTTTGCTTATGGTATACGGCACAGCAAGGAGAACATACGAGTCGAGGAGAAACCCCCAGTGACAGACTTTATTCTACCACCCGACACTCCTGTAATCAACGACGCATTGCTAGAACAGCAACCTCAGCCGCCGTACGATGACCCGCCTGAATACGATGATGCAGTTGGTGAACCGAGTGATCAACAACCACTGCTCGAAAAAGAACAGTAGTTGCGGGTATCAATATCGATGCACAATCCTGATATAAAAAACAGGTTAGCTTACCATGGGTAGTATATAGCTTCGTTAGAATGATTGACCTTGGCATAAGTTTCCAAGACCACGATTAATTACATTGTTCCCAATGTTAGTTTGTTGAAGTCTTATATAAAAAGCGTTTTTGTTTCTAATATTTGGGAGAATATTGTGAGAGTAATTGGCGTAGTAATTCTGAGAAAATGTTGTTCGACTAGAAAAGTTTCGATGCAGTGTGAATCGGCCTTATTAAATAAAAAATAAATTACTGGAATGCACACACTCCAAACGGGTATAATTTTAAAAAATAAGCCTTTAATTTCATATAGTTGTTATTTTCTTACATATATGCAAATTAGCTGTCTGACTTACAGGCAATGTCATTCACTACTGAAGTCATTCACTATTGAACCTTTAAAATGCTCATCAACTGATTTTCGACCAGAGAAAAGAACATTTTACATATGTATTAGCAAGGTGATATGTTCGTGGACATGTGACAACATAGAAAGTCGCATTAAACAGTGAGTTAATCCAAACACAGAGAAACTGTGAAATACGTTGTTAAGCTCGAACACAATTATGATAGTCACGAAAAGCTAAAAAAACACTCAAACTTCATCATTTAGCATTGAGATACTATAGCATTGAATTGTGTGTATTATATGTATTATAAATTATGTTGAAGAATGGTGGATGAAAGGCGATGTCGAAGTGGCTTGGTCACTCGTCATGTTTCGGAGTTTATACGCAGTTACTGTAAATGTATTTACTATTCACTGTGTTCTATCTATTGTGAACACTATATTGTAAATGTGTGTAACATATCTGTGAACATATAGCCTCACTACTGCATGTGTACAGAACGGTGTTGGTTGGTGCCGTGAGTAATTGTTATGGGTTGTGTACAGTATGGCACTCCATGGGTACATAGGTTGTTTGTTCAGGGGTATTACCACGCTGGACATTGTCTGTAACCCAACCTATCGTATAGTACGTAATTAGACCGTGAATGGAGTATTCAGTTGCATCCGCGGCCGGTTATTTCAGCGAGCAACCGTAGACACGTTTGATCTGCGTAATCGTGGATTTAGAAGCAGTGAACTCGGTGACATAAGAGAGTGGAACTCTGTTTGAAGATCAAAAGTCTCGTGTTCCACGAGATCTCGGTTGCCATTTGCGTGTAGATGTAGTAGTCCAATGGGTATTTGACCAGAACAGTGTAGATATAATCTAATTGTATAGTATCATTTTTAAGTTGATGTAATGTATTTTTTCCACTCTGGTGCGCATGCGTGCGTTTTTCACATATTAGATTAGCTAATGAAGTTTCAGTAAGGTAAACACACGTGGCTTTCTTGTGTCGATATATACTGAACTAAATAGACTTTCGATTGTATAATATGTATATAAAAACACATACTTCTGAAAACTAGTCAGGAGTCTTATTTATTTATTCATTTACTACATAATGTATTACTATAACATGGAATGTAACGGTACTGTTTTTAATAGTCTCCAACTCGCCTGGCACAATTTTCTGATTCGCTGCATGTGAACGTTCAATAAAATTTATCGGTTCTTCTGTTTCTAAATGGTGTAAAAACTTAATTTCAGTTATGTAGATGAGATTTCATGTGGAAGTTAAACACTCACCACAGGAATTACAAAAAAAATACTATCGATAAAGATATAAAGTAAATTCTAAGTTATGGTACAGGTACGGCCATTTTGGTTTTTTGAATTTTCGGACGCACGGTATAAGTTCTACAACGTATTTGCACTTTAAAGAAATGTTTTTGTGTGTGCGTGTTTGTGTGTGTGTGACGTAATCAATGCTACATATGTGCTCCACGTTGGTGTTCAGTTTGGTTTGCGTAATTATATACACCCAGTTTAGTTCATTTTATGTGATTGTAATCCATTGGCTGATTGCATGTTTACTCTGCCACGCCTTAGTTTTATTAGGGATTATGTATGAATTTGTAAGAGAACGGGACAGCGAGGTGTTATCTCAGCTGAGCGTTTGGGTGAATAAAACTGGACTTTGTGTAATGAACTTATGTGTATTCTTTTGGGTTGAACCTGGTAACTCTACAGTGTAATAGTTATCTGCCAAGCGAGGCGAAGTTCCATGCACAATACGCGAGTACGTAGCACATGGTTTTTAATGCTTGAACATTTTGTGGTGTTGATTTCAGAACGGGTATATTAGTGCAAAAACATTGTGTTTTTTCAATTATATATAATCGCGCAATTCCGTTTCTAAATAAAATTTTCAAAGAAGAATTAAAGACATATTAAAATTTAATTAGTCTTTCAAAATTGAAGCTTACTTACAGAAAAAACATTAGATTTTACACCAGTAGTTTTAAGTCTAACTTATCACATCTACCACAAGTTAAATTCAAATCTGTTTTTTTTTTGAGATATGCAGTATAATGTGCATGTAATTCATTTTTAAACAAATCACGTCAGTGGATGACTCGAGAGCAACCATGAACACAATTTAAATGAAATGTGATGATTATGCATATTTTGTAAATTCAGCAATTAGTGCAATGCTTTAAGTTTCATTATAATGTGATGATTAATTCTTAAAAATTCATGGAAAGCCGTTGAAGTAAATTATCTTGCAAATTAGTTAATTATTATGGATGTATATAAACCAAAAACCAAAAACTAACGTACGAAGATTTATTTTAATAAGATGATAAGAACTTGTCATGAGATATTGGTGGAAAAGCTGAAAACTGACTAATGCAAATCAGATAAATAATATGCACAAATTTCAATGAAAACCTTCTGCGCAATGTCACATGTCAATGTCACCATCCTTGTACCAAGTGTCATTGAAATGTGATTAAAACTTGAGAAATTATGAATTATTCTGCAACCTAGGATAATTAATATTCAAAGATTCAAATCAAAGCTTAACAGGTCTGTGCATTCAAAAGGCTTATAATTGTCTGATTATTCTGCAAACTATATCATTATTATACACAGATGCCAATCAAAAACTAATCAGGTATGCACACTATTGCAGAGCAATCATGTGTTAAGTTTTATTGAAATGTGAGGGTTAGTAACTTGATGAATCATTATGCAAATTAGGTGATTCACACAGGTTTGTATTCAAAACTAATTAGGTCTTATGGCATATATGGGCCACGTTTTATTGAAATGTAATGATTAGTACTTGAAATATCGGTGGAAAAGCAAAATGCATATATGCACGGATATTAACCCAAAACTTATGTCCTATGACATATATGTACCAAGTTTCATTGAAGTGTCAGTGAAAAAGCTGAAAATGTACTAATCTTTTTGCAAATTATGTAATTAATATGCCTGGATTTTTACCCAAAACTAATCATATATTCGCATTGAGCCAGAGTACCTATGTATCAAGATTCATCACAATCTCATTAGTGGTTCTTTAGCTATTTGTGTCATTGAACATTTAAACTTAATTAGGTAGCTAATTATCATGCAGATAAGGTGATTTATACCACTTTTGGTCACGTGCATCATTGTTCTCGCCAACGATTTATTCTTGCAAACAGGGTGAATTTATATGCAAATTGTAAAAAGCAACGCATTCGCAAATATGCAAAGTGTAAACGGTCACACTTTCATTCATATGCAAAGTGTAAATGCTACACTTTGTTACAAAAGTGTGGCGTTT